ATATAGGCCTATTGATCAGTTTTATTGACGGAGTTTTTTTTTGGTCTTAAGTTGATGAATCTTTTATTAGATTGAATGTTATGTTTAATTATTGTCATACCTTTAAGGGATATGGGTATGCAAGCAAATACCTTGGTCCATCGTCTGATTCGAATGTTGATATGGAGCGAGATTGGAAACTGATTACAGTATATGTTGGGTTAAATGACCTTTGTGCCTCGTGTTATGACGTAGAGAAATACTCATCTTTTGCCTACGTCACAAATATTGGCCGAGCACTTGATATACTGAAGGACAAGGTACCTGTATTTATTTTAGTTTTTCTTAACGACAAATTTTTTCTTATTTTGTTGATAATGAATTCCATATATACAGTACAATTGTACAAAGGGCTCGAAAACTGTTAATGTATATCAGTCAGTCAGTCAAAGTAACATTTATTTTCTTCTAAGTGAAAAATAGTGCAATGGTAAATAATATTGAGGAAGGCGCGGCGTAAACAAAAAAGCAAAAGCTTGTGGAAGGCATGCCTAAATAAGAGGACAAAAATAAAACATGAATAAATAAATAAATGAATAGCACTTTAAAAAATAAATAAAAGTTTTAAGTTAATTACAGGACTCCTTCTAATTAAAGACCCTCCAATTAAATACAACTTTTCTTTGGTCCCATATTAATAAATATCGTTTATCTTTATTATTCTAATTAGAGACCAAAGCTGCTATAGACCATGGCAACACCGGTCCAAAAAGTGATTAATAGGGAGCTACCGATTGCACGACGACGGTAGGACGTAGAACGTAATGCCGTCAGTAAAAGTCATCTGCGCATGCGAAAACGTAAAGGTCACCTCGTCGAGTAGATTCTGGAACGCAATTTGACTGAATCTACGTATGCAAAGAACGTAGGACGCCATGTAGGACGGTCACGCATGAGTGATTCCGTTCTAGAGTCGCGTCGTCGCACAAATCGAATGCTCCGTATCAATTGGAGGGATACCTTCATCTGAGACAGTGAAATTCGTTCCTAACTATAATCAGTGCCGTACTTATTCCTTTTGTTTTGTTGTAAGCGTCGCGGCGTTTATTACAAAATTTACGGTAGTTACACCACCGGATGCGATTTTTTTTTCCGTACGAAACATTTACATGAAACTCCACTCGGGCCGTCTCGGCTGAATCGACCCGAAAATCTCATTGCAGAATTCAGGAGGTCAAAAGGTCATCAACAGATAAACGTCTACAGAACAACTTCTGAGAGAACGTCGCTGTCTAATTTTTAAAAATACATTGATGTTACCGTGTTAATACCAATGGGTAGTTGAAAATGAATTTGATTAAGCTGCACGAGTAATGAAAAGTGTTATTTTAACTTGAGTTACATACAATGACAATTTTAATTTTTTAGTTAGGTCTGGGTTTTGCATAATTACCTAGGCCTACTAAAAACGCTTTCTGGGAAAAGCACAAAGAGTAAGGAAAAGCGCGTTTTTCTTCATCTGATCAAATGAAACACAGAATGACAGTTAT